TAACCCGAATGGGTGAAATTTGGTACGACCCGAACTTCATGTAAAAATAATTGAATTTACTTACTTCGAATAAGTTAAAGTTAAATTTTGACCAGCCAAACTCCATATATGATATATATGTGTGTGTGTGTGTCTGAATTTTAGACTCACACATCCAAAGTTGATTTAAAAACGGCTAAACTCCTAAAATTTAAGAACTTAAGCGGGGGATCGGGTATTTGTAAACAAGCACTCAACTTTTTAGCATATCAGGTAACAAACAACATTACACTATATTTCATCTGGCTGTTTCTGTTTACAAGGTAGAAAAGAATAACCTAAATATTCTGCCTAACCACAACTTTGTCAATAAAGGAACCTACAACAACACAGCCCTGTGGTACCAAGCAAAAAACAAACAAACTGGCACTTCTGAATCAATAGCTGGTGAATTAGCTTCACTACAAAATACAAAAGGATGAGGTAATAGACAAAAACAAATCAACAATCAAGGCATCACCAATATGGATTTTGCATAGGATGGTCGAACCAAATTCATCTCGAGATGTACAAAAGGTTACTGATCAAGTGTCACTGGATGAATTTCATTGTCCAACTTCTAATGCAGTTGAAATCCACTCTGAAGCAGCTGTGTGAACGTCTGCTTCTACATGCATCGATAGAGAGACTGGAGTGACTGCTATCTGTTGAGCACAATAATATCATTGGTCAAAAGCATATAAAGACAGCTTATCACTAGTTTGACATTGGTTAACGTTACATATCCAGCACTGCCTGGGGAAAAAAAGACAATTACATTAAGGATATGAGTAATAAACTTACAAAACCATTTTCAAGAGCTCTAAAATCTAAATCCTCATCCTCTTCTTCCTGCTTCTTGTCAAGTAACTGCAGCGCAAATAACCAATAAAGTCATTCACTTAAATATTTGAACCAACTGGTACTAAGTACAAAGAAATGGAAAGGCATCGATGAGAAAGATTAGTATAAGGAAACGTGAGACACTTGGCTTTTTTGCGCTCCCGCACAAGCCATTCAAAGAGAGGAAAATTATGGATTAATGTGACGATTTAACATGTTCTTCTGATACATAAGATCCCTCTTTTCCATTGACCTAAGATAAATTAAGTTGAAAATGGCATTGTCAATTAGAAAATAAACCTGAAGATTCCTCTATTACTTATCCAAGACAGCAACTGGATACAATATTTCCATAGAGATGGAAAAAATTTCCTTACCTCCAATCTGAAGTACTTGGCTTTCCGGTTGGGATCAGATTTCCCTGATACACCAACCGATTCAACCTCCTCTATATTCTTTTTCTGTGTGGCTAACCGACGAGCGGCACCCTGAAAAAAAATGAGAATTCGGAAGTCTGAATGGTTAAGAGTATCTACAATGCAAACCTTGATTGAGAAAACTAAACAAGCAGGGGCAGCAAAGTGTTACAAATAACTGTATTTTGACCCATTTATGTGCATTTTTGTCTTATTGTGTACTATAACGGAATCAAAGAAGCCACTCAAATACTACTCATCTTACTGGAAACTGGGAAATGAATCAGCTTTTAAGTCACTACCTTCCTTAAGCTCTGACTACTCTACTTTTTAAGATTCAACAGAATTTCAACTCCATATAAATTCCTTTTAGATATAGGTAGGGGACAGCTCAATTCTTGATCTTGTTTAACTTTAAGAGCAATTAGGTTGTCACTCACTTAAAGGCAATACTACACACTTGCTATCATCATCATAAATTATCTAGGTCACCACATACCAGTGAAGGACCAGTTAACTCACCGCTGCAGAAGCATCTCGGCCTAGTTGCGCAAGCTGTAGTCCAAGCATTTGCTGATTGGGAACAAAACGTCCGGCAGCAGGATTCCTGCTTGCTGAAATAGCTTGCCAGCAAAGCTTAGGGCTCCAATGACTTTGCCTGGTCGATTTGAATCCCTGTCACATAAAAGGCAAAAATAATCTCTCTACATCCACATACATGGAGAGATATAATATGCTAAAGCAAAACAGTAATGTGGCTGGACTTGGGGAGTAAAAGGAAAGAAGACTAAAACTTTGCTTTTGCATGCCAACAACAATAGTGTCACACGTACATTCTTCAGAATGATTGACAATTAGCAGTTTCGAATGGAGACTCTTTTTGATGAACTGGTCTGACCAAGGAATCACAAGTCCAAAAACTCGTATTTTTCTCAATGGGAAGAAAGCGCCTCAAGGGTGACAATAAAACAGACCTTGTTTGTCAGAGGAGACTTTGGAATTTCCACATGCAGCAAGCAACATTTGGGAAAAACTCCCTTCTCTATATCTCTAAGGGCTGCATTTATCAACGGTAAACAAACACCAACGGCATCCTTGAAATCACTTTCCTGACTTTCACCTTTCTTCCTAAAATAGATTATGGGTACATTGTTAAGACCATCAAGAGTGATTAAAATATTCAGCAGTATCCCCTAAATGATAGGCAAATACCAGTCAAGTGATATCGATATAGATGGCACACCACTAAACAATGACTCCCTTGCACCAGCTACAACACCTGAGTAAAACCTGGAAACAGTGAAGTAGTACAAATAATCACAAAATTCTATGCTGATATAGAAGTAACAAAAAAAAGAGCAAGAAAGTGCCAATTCACAACTTCAATATGAGCAGTAGTCATAATAAAACAATTTCAAACTATAAAGTTGTGCTAAATTTTATAGTTCACTAACAGAAAGGTCATAAAAAGAAAACACTACTTACATATGATGGCCACAACTTGAGCCCTTATTGATTCCACTTATCACCTAAACGTCCAAGCAGAAATAAATAACAGGATAGTCAGCAACATAAGCAATACCAAACCCAAAAATGGAATAGGAAAATGGTATAACTGAAAACATGTTAAAAAATACCAGCATAGGCTTTGACCAGGAAAATAGTGCACCAGACAAGGCTAATGACACACAATCTACGGGAGTCCCTGACACCAGAACAAATTCAAAAGGCGTAACATGTTAGAGCTGAAATACTGTATAGTTTCTAAATGTAAGTGTAATCCTACAAAGCTAGGGTAAATATAGATTACAATTTTTCCAACAAAAGACCGAGTAGAACATATACACTAAAAGCCAATAGTAACAATATCATACCTGAAACTTCATAAGCAGTAGCACCATGAATCTCAGCCGACGTAACAGCAATGGATTCTTTCAGGGTAAAAGAATGGCCTGCCATTGATTCATCTCTACAATAGCATTTGGAAGAAAACACATTAACCATAAGTTATAAAGCGCTTAGTTTGGATTATGATTAAATCATTTTATCCAATCTAATATTAGTCTTACTAATGCAGGGGATAATGTTTTATTAATACAAAATTTAATAGCGCTCTTATTATTCCACCAGCACATTAGAAATCTCAGATATGTATTACATATAAACTGCAATGAATCAACAAAGGTAACTCAGGACCCATTTCGACCACAAAAACCAAGAGATCCCGCATTACAGATAACATAATTTCAACATCTACAAAACACGGGACAACCACAAGAGTACAATATCCCAAAAGTAGCACTATGGCTCAATCCAAAACTTGTTGGGATTAGCTATGGAAACCCTTTTATATATTCCCCCTAATTTGGACCCATTTCATTCAAAAAATTATACCTTTATACATGGTTAAAACTATTTTTATGTATATCTAGTTAATGTTGAATCCTCGTTGGCTTCTTCATGTGTTACTTCTTAATATATTGAAGGACCTTAGTGAAAATACTTTGTCCGCTAGTGCAATGAGACAATTAATCAAGAGTAACAGGAAACTGCGTATAAGTAACAGGGAAAGAGAAATTTAAAAGAGAACCCACGATTGAGGAGCGCAAACGTTAACATTGTAGAGTCCCAGACGAACAAGAGCATCAACAAGATAGGTAAGGCCAGGGGATTCAATCCCATCAGCGTTAGTAACTAAAACAACAGGCTTTGTATCGTCAACCTCTACAGGATCCGAGTTGGGTTCCGTGGAATCATCATTTTTATCGTTTTGGGGAGCACCCTTTCTGCTAGAAAGAACATCTTGAAGATTGGAAACAAGCCCAGGAGGCAAGAAGTTAGCTTTCGCCCCAGAAGGCCTCATTCAGAAAGCGTTGAGTGATTTTCAGGAATTGAAAGAAAGGGACGTGACGTGAAGGAGAGGAAAACGAGGGGAGTAAATAAAGCGCTTAAAATATTAGACCGCTTCCAACGCCGTTCTGAGGCTATTTATTACACTACAAATTTAGTCTCAACACGTACTTCTTTTTTGTCTTTTTTTTTAATTTGAGACAGTGGAGCGTAAAAAATATACTTAAATTATCCGTAATTTTATTTTAATTTCATATCTTAATTATTTGGAGTATGAAAAATATATTTAAATTATTACTTATAAGTTTGTAAATAAGGAGTAATATGTAACGGTGTATGAATTATATTCTTTCTTATTAAAATAAAAAATTATCACGTGAAAAATAATTTTACCGTATAAAAATGACAAACATAACATATAACAATCCCAACCGAAAATATAAATTGGAACACTTAACTTCACTCTTCAAAAGTTCAATTGAAAATTTTCTTTTAAAAAAAACGTGCGAGCAATAAGGATAATTCCTTCTATCAGCAGCACTAGCGTTTCCATAAAGAAAAATGATAGTACTATAATTAGCAATTAAAATTCATAAAGAAAAATCTTCTTGTTGTAGATAAGGAAATGACAATATGCTTGAGAAATCTTCAATTTGGCTTTTGAGCAGAATGAAATTTAGTTAAACTTCTCTTACTTCTAATTAGTTCCTATTTGTAAAAACACATCCACAGCCCACATGCATTCAGTTTCCATACAAAGTTGTTATCTACATTTCATTTCATTTAAATGTGAGATTAGAATCACAAGGTTTTCAACCTCCTTTTCTTACAATATAAGATGGTTGATTAACTTGTAAAAGTTAAAACAAATAAAGAACTATGCTATCTTTATATCCCAAAGTTTACAGGCTAATACATCTATCTTACTAGAAGTTAGTGGTAGGGGGCACCAGCAAAAATTTTACACCTAAATGCAACAGTCAAAACTCATCTAATATTTGCAGCCTTGGAGGCGAACTTGTCACTTTCAATAAGGATAATACTTTCTATTACCAGCGTTCCCATATACACAGGCACCATTTCTGCCACCACCTCCATATCCTCTGTTGCCCCCATCATTCCAGCCGTTACCACTGTTCCCATAACCACGACCACGACAATAGGAGGCAGGCACAGTACCATAGCTGCTGCCTCTTTAACCAGCTGCACCAGCTCTAATTGGAAAAACCCTCGTAGTTTTAACCTTCAGACGACAACCTTTTTTTGTTTCATCACAGTAAAAGAGGCAACAATCAGTTCTGTGCTCTATAAATTCCTAATTACTCACTTGTTTGCCACGAAGTTCATGCATATCGCTATTAGATAAAACACGTTCAACTGCTTCTTCTTTATCAAAACTCACAAAGCCAAAGCCTCTGGAGCGACCAGTTGTTTTATCCAAAATGATCTGTTGCCCCACAACATTGCCATAAGAAGAAAAATATTCCTTCAACTCACCTGAAATTAATCACTAGGTTACAGAGCAAACTTTCTCAACTGGCAGAAATAAGAAATGATATATATCATGTATACTCTATACCTTCAGTTAAAGATGATGGAAGACCACCAACATGAATTCTCTGTCTATAAGTTACTGGTATCTTCACATCCACCTTATACACAAATAGAATATACTCTTTAAACATAAACACAAGGCAAAGAGTAATAGTAAATAAAGGAAAAATGACAGTAATGTGGTGCTTTCATGAGAAAATTGTACCTCTTTACTATCTATGTTATGGTATGTGTTTAAAACTTCATCTGCAATTTCCGGGTTAGCATATGTAACAAATCCAAATCCTAGTCGCCTTCCAGAGACTTTATCACGCTTTAGTACAAAATCAGCTAGATCTCCAAACTGCCCGAAATGGGCCCTCAATGATTCTGGAAAGTAAAAAAATCATAAATATTACTCTTAGAATATGAAAACTGAGGCGAATAAATCACAGAGATTTAAGAGTACTAAAGAATTCAAATATTTCAGGTTAAAAAACAGAGGGTCCAATTTGGGACGTAATATCACAATGATACATATATAGCAAGATAGCATCAATACCTTCGGTTATCTCCATAGAAATGCCTCCAATAAAAAGTGGTCTATTATCAAGAAAATACAACAATTTGGTAAAATTCAAACGATAAACAAGGAAATCAAGAACATGTGATTTGCTACAAGCTATAAACTAAGCTATGAACTTACCTTGCTGAAGAACCACGGGAGTCCCTATCAGCCATTGTTTTCTTTATCCTTTCCAGCTGAAAAAGATAACGAATCGCAACAAAACCTTGATAGATTTCAGCACAAGAATCTAATACTGAGTTTTTTGTGATTGCGTAAAACCCTAGCTTTGTGCGCTAAAATTTGAAAATTGCCGCCGAATGAGATTTACCAGTAAATCAAATACTTCAACAGAAAGAGCAACAACTTGGCGGTTTCAAAAGAGACTACATATATAGTCCGGGAATATAATGCACCACCTTCCATATTGCAATTTTTTTTTTAACGTTCAAATTATAACTCCTTCCAATTGAATTATACATCCGTCTCTATCTATGTGATGCAATTTAACTCGATATAGAGTTTGAGAAAAAAAAAAAATTTTGAAATTTGAAGTCTAAAATAAGTTAAGATATTTATTTGATTATAAATTATTTCAATAAAGATAAAAGGAATATTTAAATTTAAATTGTTACTAAATATAAAAATGTGTCGTCTTTCATTTTTTGAACTAATTGCTAAAAAGAAAAGCAAGACATAATAGAGAAAATAGTTTAAATTTTGAAAAAACTTCTAGTATTCATTATACAAATAAGTTAATTATAGAGAAAAGACATAAAGTGAAACCTTAAGTTATCCCGAATTTTTAAAAAGACACTTTAACTATGTATTGAATACCCTTATAAATAGACCATTTTGATTTATTTTATCCCCTGTTTGTATTCACGCAGATGACGCGCGTGGATGAATAAAATTTCTTCCAAAAACGAACTAAAAAGTGCCATGTGTCATGTGCTCTCTCTATTATTTAATTACTTCCTCTCTTTTAATACATCATCTTACCCAGCTCTTTCAAAAGATCAGTTGGTTGAAAGTTTAAACTAAAAAAAAATCTTCTTTTTGAATGAAAACAACCCAAAAAGTTAAAGGAATTCTAACATCTTGTTAATTTTCAGTCGTCAAAATTAAATTTCTTTAAAATTTGAAAAATCAAGTTACCTTGAATTGCATTTGCAATGACAAAAATAATCCGGTGTTGCATTTATTATTTCATTCTGCAAAAGTGCCGCAAACTAAACTCTTGCAGAACCCCAATCCATGGAACTTAACGAACCTCAAGTCTTAACAATAATGGCGGAAAAAATTGTCGATTCCAAAAATTGAAAGCATGCTCCAACAACCGGAGATAAATCAACTCCCAAGAAGCTAAAATCAACCCAAAAAGTTCTGAAGAAACCCCATTAATTGTCAAAGCAAGCTGGGAGATAAGAAGCAACAACCCAAGCCTTATGTCGTCGTTTTCAGGAAAAGGTGTGCCAATATTTGTGTTTTGGGTCGAATTAAACCCGTATTTTATTAATATTTAAATTAAATTAATAAATTAAAAGGGGGGTGTGCGCCACTCGCCTATTAAAATTCTTGGGTTGATGAGAAAACATGTCAAAATAGTCTCTTTACAAAGATATTGAATACTTTTGTGGGGTAATATGATGCCTAGATAGTTAAAGTGTCTTTTTGAAAATTTGGGACAATTTCAGGTGTCGCTTTATGTCTTTTCTCTTAATAATAAGTAATGAGTTATTGGTTAGACAGTTTTGATAATGATTTTGATTTTTTTATTAACCGGTTATCGAATCTTAGCGGATTGATACTGTATAGTTTCTAAATGTAAGTGTAATCCTACAAAGCTCGAGTAAATATCAATTACAAACTATCCAACAAAAGACCAAGTAGAACATATCCTCATATCATCATATCATCATATCATATCATATATCATATCATATATTATTAAAAGTGGGAACCTCCAACCTTCAAAGTTGGATTACCATTTTGACCCTCCACTATATCAAAATAAAATTAATTTATATGTTAAAAATATTTTAATTACATAGTAGTGGAATATGAAGTCCAACAACTTTAATTTAATTTTTTAGTTATGACATTTTATAATTATAATTGATTAGGTCAAATTCAACTAAATCAAAAAATAAAATAATGTATGAAATCTTTCAATTAAATGACTCTTTGAATTTTGAAACCAAAATAAAATTTCTGCATCATGATTTAATGTGCTCCATTAATAAAGTTTGGTAGGTGAAAAGACCGCCAAATATCACTATAAATACCAGTAAATTGCTCCCTAGATCATCATATTATTTTCTTTTCTATCATCTATTGTTCTCTTTTCTTCTTCATAGATAATGATATAGATACATGTCGTCAAGAAGCTAACTAGGGAGAAGAACAAATATCTTCATTCTTAAATTAAAAAGATAAGCTTTCTTACAATATAGTTCAAGTGTTGAGCTTAGAAGTATCAGATATGACCTATATATTCCTTTGTCTTATTTATGTTAGCCTATAATTTTAAGTTTTTCTTTTCCATTTTGGAGTTGAGGTATGGTTGTCCAAAATAAATTTGGTATGCAACCCATATTTAATTAGTAGGTGTATTTCTCACGGTCTCAACAGTTTAGATATAAAACTCAATAAAAATAGATAGTTTAGATGTGAAACAAACACACAATTCAAAAAAGTATGTCAGCCAACAAAAAAAAAACACGGGGACCAAAATTCTGAGCAAGACGCACGTGAGTGTATATATACTGTGACTAGTGGCGGATCCAGAAATTTTATTTCATGAGTGCTCAATTATTTTTAGTTTGAGAATTTCTATATAAAGTGGGTGCTTAGTTAATACATTTGAATGAATTATTAGATATTACAAACAAATATTAGTGTTTATTGCAAAAAGCAATGGGTGCTTAAGCACCCATAATCCATAACATACATCCGCCAGCATCGAGGTGTGTTTTTCACATTTGGTCTAGTCAACATCAAGGCGTGTTTTTCACATTTGCATGACGATGCTTATTTCATATTCCAAAGGCCAAACACATAAGCAGACCCTTAAACTTGTCCCTAAATTTCATTTTGGCACTCCAACTCAATCTTGTTCCATTTTAACCCTTCAACTCCAATTTTTATGTTCCATTTTGGCACTTCTAAGTGATGTGGCAGAGTGTGCATCACACTTTCTCTAAGAGAGTGAGACAAAATAAATAAATAAAAGATAACCCTTCAACTCTATTTCTTTTATGTACCATTTGACACAAAATACTAATTTTATGATTCTTTATTTCTATGTATGTTATTCAACTGCAATTTTGCATTTTAAAAATCGGCGTTCATCCGTTAGTTATTGTAAAAAAAATAAAATTGACGGATGATCATTGATTTTTTTTAGAAAAAAAAAGTAACAATTTTCTTTTTAAGAGTTTTCCCTATATTTTTGCGTGAAAAATAACCGACGAAAGTGCGTCAATTTTCTTTCTTAAGAAAATCAATGACAACCCAACGAAGTCTATCGAGTTTCAACATTTTTTTGTAGTGTTATTAATTAGAAATGAACATGAGTTTTTTTTTACTCGTATTTAGTTGAATGAAAAAATAGAAAGCTGATAATTGAGTTTAGTTCAAATAGACTAGATATGAAAAAAAAATATGTGGTGTTATTTAATTTAATTAATTCTTTAAAAAAGAAAACCAACACACTTTCGTCTATTATTTTTTCATACAATAATGTACAGAAACTCTAAAAAATAAAAATTAAACAAAAAATGATGTTCATCCATTATTATTATTTTTTTTAAAAATATGACGTTGATTTTTAAAATGAAATAGTGGAAATGAAGAACATAAATAAAAATAAAGAAATCATAAATTTAGTATTTTGTGTTTAAATGATACTATATAAAATAGACTTGAAGGATTAAAATAGAACTAGGCTAAGTTAGCATGACAAAATAAAAAATGGGGGCAAGTTAGAGGAATTGTGTATGTGTTTTTAATTGTCTTTTGTTCCATATCATGGCATGTGAAGTACACACATCCCACTTTGTTGATTCTTTGGAAAGAAGTGCCAAAATGGAACATAAAAATTGGAGTTGAAGGGTTAAAATGGAACAAGGTTGAGTTGGAGTGCCAAAATGAAATTTAAGGACAAGTTTAAGGGTCTGCATATGTGTTTGGCCTATTCCAAATGATAGTGAATATGTAAAATTATACAATTAGCAATTAAAATTCATAAAGAAAAATCTTCTTGTTGCAGATAAGGAAATGACAATATACTTGAGAAATCTTCAATCTGGCTTTGAGCAGAATGGAATTTAGTTAAACTTCTCTTACTTCTAATTAGTTCCTATTAGTAAAAACTCATCCACAGCCCACAGACATTCAGTTTTCGTACAAAGTTGTCATCTACATTTCATTTCATTTAAATGTGAGATCAGAATCACAAGGTTTTCAACCTCCTTTTCTTACAATACAAGATGATTGATTGACTTGTAAAAGTTAAAACAAAGAACTGTATGCTATCTTTATATCCCAAAGTAAACAGGCTAATACATCTATCTTACTAGAAGTTAGTGGTAGCGGGCACCAGCAAAGATTTTACACCTAAATGCAACAGTCAAAACTCATCAAATATTTGCAGCCTTAGAGGCGAACTTGTCACTTTCAATAAGGATGATACCTTCTGTTAGCAGCACCGGTGTTCTCATATGCATAGGCACCATTTCTGCCACCACCTCCATATCCTCCGTTCCCCCCATCATTCCAGCTGTTACCACTGTTCCCATAACCACGACCACGACCATTGTAGGCAGGCACATAACTTTCATTAGCAGCACCGGTGTTCCCATATGCATAGGCATCATTTGTGCCACCACCTCCATATCCTCCATTCCCCCGATAATTCCAGTTGTTACCACTGTTCCCATAACCACGACCACGGCCATTGTAGGCAGGCACATACCTTTCATTAGCAGCACCGGTGTTCCCATATGCATAGGCATCATTTATGCCACCACCTCCATATCCTCCGTTTCCCCCATAATTCCAGCTGTTACCACTGTTCCCATAACCACGACCACGTCCATTGTAGGCAGGCACCAATTTTCATTAGCAGCACCGGTGTTCCCATATGCATAGGCACCATTCTGCCACCACCTCCATATCCTCCGTTCCCCCATCATTCCAGCTGTTACCACTGTTCCAATAACCACGACCACGACCATTGTAGGCAGGCACCAATTTTCATTAGCAGCACCGGTGTTCCCATATGCATAGGCCTCATTTGTGCCACCACCTCCATATCCTCCATTCCCCCGATAATTCCAGTTGTTACCACTGTTCCCATAACCACGACCACGGCTATTGTAGGCAGGCACAGACCTTCCATTAGCAGCACCGGTGTTCCCATATGCATAGGCATCATTTTATGCCACCACCTCCATATCCTCCCATTCCCCGATAATTCCAGTTGTTACCACTGTTCCCATAACCAAGACGACGACCATTGTAGGCAGGCACATAACTTTCATTAGCAGCACCGGTGTTCCCATATGCATAGGCCTCATTTGTGCCACCACCTCCATATCCTCCGTTCCCCCCATCATTCCAGCCGCTACCACTGTTCCCATAACCACGACCACGACCATTGTAGGCATGCACACCGTAGCTGCTGCTTCTGTAACCAGCTGCACCAGCTCTCTTTGGAGCAGCCCTATTAATTTCAACCTACAGACACAATCCTTTTTTGTTTCATCAAAGTAAAAGAGGCAACAATCAGTTCTGGGCAGTATAAATTCCTTATTACTCACTTGTTTGCCGCAAAGTTCATGTATATGGCCATCAGATAAAACTTTTTCAACTGCTTCCTCTTTATCAAAACTCACATAGCCAAAACGTCGGCTCCGACCAGTTCTTCTATCCAAAACAATGCAATGATCCACAACATAGCCATAAGGAGAAAAATGTTCCTTCAACTCATCTGAAATTAATCACTAGGTTAAAGCAGCAACTTTTTCAACTGGCAGAAACGAAGAAATGATATCATGTATACTCTTTACCTTCAGTCAAAGATAATGGAAGACCACCAACATAAATTCTCGTTGTATTAGTTACTGGTTCCTCCACGGCCACCTTATACACAAATAGAATATACTCTTTAAACATAAACCAAGGCAAAGAGTTATAGTAAATAAAGGAAAAATGACAGTATGTGGTGCTTTCAGGAGAAAATTCTACCTTTTTACCATCTATGGTATGGTCTTCCTTTAAAACTTTATCTGCAATTTCCGGGTCAGCATATATAACAAATCCAAATCCTCGTCGCCTTCCAGAGTCTTCATCACGCATTAGTACAGAATCAGCTACCTGTCCAAACTTGCTGAAATACTCCCTAAATGATTCTGGAAAGTAAAAAAAAAAGTACTAAATGAGGTTAGAGCAAAGATAGTCAGATATTATGAAAACAGGAATGCAGATAAAGTAGATGCACTGATCTCAAAAAATTGATGTGAAACATAGTTTACTTGGGCAAACTATTTTGATGTTTGTCACTGTTAAAAACTAGTAAACATTTTCTGAAGAAACTAAAGGATTTATCCAAAAGCAGAGATACCAACACAATTTACTATTGAAGGAGAAGATTAACTCAATTACTCAATCAAATATTAACAATTACATGAATCTTTAAAATGCCTCCTCATTATCATGTTAGGAACACATACTGCAAAGGTTGCCTCTCTTTACTATTTGATGTTCGAAGAAAGCCAATCCCCAACTTCTCACACCCCAATCACACTAAGATGCAATTTTAGAATAACGCTAACTACATAACCAAAACTCCGATATTCATGTCCAAGTCTGAGGCGAATAAATTTCCCGCAATCACAAAGATTTAAGAGTATTAAAGAATTCAAATATTTCAGCAGAGGGTCCAATTTGGGACGTAATATCACAATGATACATATATAGCAAGATAGCATCAATACCTTCGGTTGTCTTCGTAGAAATGCGTCCAACAAAAAGTTTTCTATCATCAAGAAAATGCAACAATTAAAACGACAAACAAGAAAATTAAGAACCAGTGATTTGCTATAAACTAAGCTACAAAACTTACCTTTCTGAACAACCATTGATTGAAGGTTTTAATTCATCGGCTTCCCTATCGCCTACTTTGTCAGCCATTTCCACATCTTCATTTGGTTGGTCAGTTTCTTCATTTCGTTCCTCATCAAAATTCATTGTTTTTTTATCCTTTCCAGCTGAAAAAAGATAACGAATCGCAACAAAACCTTGACAGATTTCAGCACGAGATCGAATACTGAGGATTTTGTGATTGGGTAAACCCTAGCTTTGTGCGCTAAAATTTGAAAATTGCCGCCGAATGAGATTTACCAGTAAATCAAATACTTCAACAGAAAGAGCAACAACTTGGCGGTTTCAAAAGAGACTACATATATAGTCCGGGAATATAATGCACCACCTTCCATATTGCAATTTTTTTTTTTTAACGTTCAAATTATAACTCCTTCCAATTGAATTATACATCCGTCTCCATCTATGTAATGTACACATTAGCGTCAATAAACTGTAAAATCAAGTAACCAAATCCAAACCAATAATCCAAACCAAAAAATTAGTTATTGATTTATCATTAATGAGTTACTGGTTTGACAATTTCGATAATGATTTTGATTTTTTTTATAACCGGGTTATCTGATAGCCTGATAGTAAATTAATAAATTATATTTATACTTTTCGGTATATTAAGTCCTTAACTTAGCGTTTAGTTTCATACTTTTATGTTTGATTATCTCAAATTTTCGGTTATCATTCATTGTGCTAGTGTTTGCTTCTAAGCAAAATGCAATATGTCAATTCATGTGTATGAGTTATTTGGTTTATTACCTAGTTTCTAAGTGACTTTCAAAGAGTTTTTGGATGTTAAATCTTAATGGTTAAACTGATAAGTGAACCGATAATGATCGATAACCGATAACCTTATAAGTCAATACAACGATTTAACATGTCTATAAAGTACAAACGATAATCAATAAGTCGAACACATAAACTTTAAATCCGAACTGAAATGACCCAATACACAATCCTACCTGCATGTTTCAATTTAGGTGGATATGTATAAGTATAACTAAATGAGATAACAATTGTCATGTGATTAACTTAATACGTTTGAGAACACACAGGTTTTGCAGAATTTGAATATGTAAAATGATATATAATTACTAATTAGCAAAATAAAATTCATAAAGAAAAATCATGCTGTTGCAGATAAGGAAATGACAATATGCTTGAGAATATTCAATCTGGATTTAAGCAGAATGAAATTTAATTAAACTTCTCTTGCTTCTAATTAGTTCCTATTAGTAAAAACTCATCCACAGCCCATAGGCATTCAGTTTTCATACAAAGTTGTCATCTACATTTCATTTAAATGTGAGATCAGAATCACAAGGTTTTCAACCTCCTTTTCTTACAATATAAAATGGTTGATAAACTTGTAAAAGTTAAAACAAAGAACTATGCTATCTTTACATCCCAAAGCTAACAGGCTAATACATCTATCTTACTAGAAGTTAGTGGTCAAAAGTCATCAAATATTTGCAGCCTTGGAGGCGATCCTGTCACTTCAAAGAAGGATGAGACCTTCCATTATCAGCACCGGTGGCACCATTTTCCCCACCACCTCCATATCCTCCGTTGCACCCATCATTCGAGCCGTTACCTCTGCTCCCATCATCACTACCACCACCATAGTAGGCAGGCACAGACCTTCCATTATCAGCACCGGCGTTCCCATATGCATTGGCACCATTTCCGCCACCACCTCCATATCCTCTGTTGCCCCCATCATTCGAGCCGTTACCACTGTTCCCATAACCACTACCACCACCATAGTAGGCAGGCACAAACCTTCCATTAGCAGCACCAGCGTTCCCATATGCATAGGCACCATTTCCGCCACCACCTCCATATCCTCCATTTCCCCCATCATTCGAGCCGTTACCTCTGTTCCCATAACCACTACCACCACCATAGTAGGCAGGTATACCATAGGTGCTGCCTTCGTAACCAGCTGCACCATACATAGCTTCACCAAACCAAAATCCATAACCGTATCCAGAGTAAAATCCTGTAGGACTTACACCATAACTTCCTGCAAACTTGCCATACCCGCCATAGTCACCGTATCCTTCATATACACCATAACCGCTACCCATATTTCCACCATATCCACCGCCAAAAGCCTCTAGAGAACCACCATCGCCATAATATGATTTTGAACCACTCCCACCATGATGTATCTGGCTTTCACTTGTATGTTCAGCACAATCTCTCTTTGACTTAGCCCTCTTAATTTCAACCTAAAGACAACAAATTATTATGTTACGTCAAATTAAAAGAGGCAACAATCAGTTCTGTGCTGTATAAATTCCTAATTACTCACTTGTTTGCCACGAAGTTCATGGATATGGCCATTAGATAAAACTTTTTCAACTGCTTCCTCTTTATCAAAACTCACAATGCCAAAACGTTGGCTCCGACCAGTTGTTTTATCCAAAATGATCTGATGCCCCACAACATTGCCATAAGAAGAAAAATATTCCTTCAACTCGCCTGAAATTAATCACTAGGTTAAAGAGCAAACTTTCTCAACAGGCAGAAATAAGAAATGATATCATGTATACTCTTTACCTTCAGTTAAAGATAATGGAAGACCACCAACAAAAATTCTCTGTCTATAAGTTACTGGTATCTTCACGTCGACCTTATACACAAATAGAATATACTCTTTAAACATAAACCAAGGCAAAGAGTAATAGTAAATAAAGGAAAAATGACAGTATGTGGTGCTTTCAGGAGAAAATTCTACCTTTCTATCATCTATGATATGGTTTTCCTTTAAAACTTTATCTGCAATTTCCGTGTCAGCATATGTAACAAATCCAAATCCTAGTGGCATTCCAGAGATTTTCTGATACATCACTACAGAGTCAGCTACCTCTCCAAATCGACTGAAATACTCCCTAAGTGATTCTGGAAAGTTAAAGAAAAAAGTTACTAAATGAGGTTAGAGCAAAGATAGTCAGATATCATGAAAACAGGAATGCAGATAAAGTAGATGTACTGATCTCAAAAATAGATGTGAAACATAGTTTACTTGGGCAAACTATTTTGAGGTTTGTCACTGTTAAAAATTAAACATTTTCTATTACATGAAAAAAGCATTTGAAGAAACTAAATTTACTATTGAAGGAGAAGATTAACTCAATTACTCAATCAAATATTAACAATTACATGAATCTTTAAAATGCCTCCTCATTATCATGTTAGGAACACATACTGCAAAGGTTGCCTCTCTTTACTGTTTGATGTTCGAAGAAAGCCAAACCTCAAAATCCCACACCCCATTCAAGTATTAACTATTACATGAATCTTTAAAATGCTTCATTTTCATGTTAGGAACACATACTGCAAAGGTTGCCTCTCCTTACTATTTGATGTTCAAAGAAAGCCAAAACCCAACTTCCCACACCCCAATCAAGTATTAACTATTACATGAATCTTTAAAATGAGCCATATCCGCATGGCCAGGTGACAAATGACTACTTACAACACATTAGTGATATATCATCAAGCATGCTTTAACCAGCCAACACACTATTTTTAAGCTCCAAGAATATGCGTAAGGCAATTGATAAGAATACAACACACTAAGATGCAATAGAAGCCTAATGTTAATATAGAAGATTTTCAGCAACCAATTTTAGAATAATTTAACTACATAACCAAAACTCCAATATTCATGTCCAAGTCAAGACCATTGTAATCTCACTTTTAAAGCTTATTCATTGCAAAGAAAGACAAGTCTCTCAATGTGAAAACAGTGGAAAACATATCTCTAAGAATATGAAAACTGAGGCGAATAGATTTCCCGCAATCACATAGATTTAAGAGTACTAAAGAATTCAAATATTTCAGGTTAAAAAACCGAGGGTCCAATTTCGAACGTAATATTACAATAATAGCATCAATACCTTTAGTTGTCATCCAAGAAATGCCTCCAACAAAAAGTTTTCTATCATCAAGAAAATACAAACAATTTGGTAAAATTCAAACGATAAACAAGGAAATCAAGAACATGTGATTTGTTACAAGCTATAAACAAAACTATAAACTAACCTTACTGAACAACCATTGATTGAAGGTTTTAATTCATGGGCTTCCCTATCGCCTACTTTATCAGCCATTTCCACATCTTCATTTGGTTGGTCAGTTTCTCCATTTTGTTCCTCATCAAAATCCATTGTTTTCTTTATCCTTTCCAGCTGAAAAAGATAACCAACCGCAACAAAACCTTGACAGATTTCAGCACGAGATCGAATACTGAGCTTTTTGTGATTGCGTAAACCCTAGCTTTGTGTGCTAAAATTTGAAAATTCCAGTAAATCAAATACTTCAACAGAAAGAGCAACAACTGGTGGTAGAGCAGCAATTTTAAAAGAGAGTACATATATAGTCCGGGAAAATAGAAATTACGTGCATTAAAGATAAAATGAATATTTAAATTTGAACGGTTATTAAAAATAGAATTGTCATTCGTTTTTTAAATTGACTAAAAAGAAAAGAGAATTATAAATTGGGATAAAGGAGTAGTTATTTGGCGGAATGGCCTGAGAGGCCCTTGTACTTGACTTGATTTGTAAGTTGGATCCCTGTACTTACGACTTTGTCAACTAAACCCTTAAACTCATTCAAACACAATATTTTAGACCTCTTTCTCATTTGATGGGTGTGTGTAGTACACTCATTTTACATATGAAAGATCACGTCATTTTTTAATGACACATTATTATTATTATTATTTTAATGACACATCATAAATTAAATATTTAAAAATAAATAATATTTTTTAAAAATGCAATTTTCTCTCTCTCTACCATTTCACTCCCTTCCCATTTCATCTTCTTTGTTCCCACATTCTACTATTTTCATCTTTCTTTATAGTCACACTCAAAAATTTCTTCAATCACAAAATGTGATAGATTATAACTAGTTCTTGCACATGCTTTATGGATCTATTTATTTTGATTTGATAAAAAGAGATATCAAGAAAACTTCAAATTGAAAAAAATATATTTACATGTAAATTCAAGTAGTAGATCTTAAAGAATTAAGTTTATAAAAATGGTGAATGGTATATTTT